AGGTGTGAGCCACCATGCACGGCCATCAATATAGATATACTTGCTAATTTTGAGAGGGAAGAAGTTACTAACTTATGGGTTTGTAGGAACAGTGGGAGTAGAAAAGAAGAGAACTACCACCCTCCTTTATGTGGGATAAGGAAGGAGTCAATAAGAATGTCATGACAGAGTAATTGCTTCTTAGAGGTCCCTAACAGGTTCCTGAGCACGTGACTATTTAAACCAATACTTGAAGAATGACGATTTGGCTATGGGGTGGGATGGGGGTGGAGAAGAAGAAAATCCTAGGAACCAGGAGCAACCTGTCTGAATAGTTAAAAGAATTGAAAGGAGCCAGCCTATTCAGAACATAGTGGCTGAGAGAGTGGGAAAGAGAGCATAGGAGCAGGTGGAATAATCACTAGTGGCCAGATCACATGGGCCTCGTAGGCCATCATGAGTAATTTGCATTTTACTCTATATGCCAAGGAGATTTCTTGAGGGGTTTGCAGCAGGGGAGTGGTATGATCTACTTTGTACTTTTATTTCTATTTTTTATTTTTCATTTTTGAGACAGAGTCTCACTCTGTCTTCCAGGCTAGAGTGCAGTGGTGTCATTGTGGTGCCCTGCAGCCTCAACCTCCTGGGCTCAAGTAATCCTCCTGCCTTAGCCTCCCAATAGCTGGGCATGGTGGCCCATGCCTCATTTTTTTTTTGAAATGGAGTTTCACTCTTGTTGTCCAGGCTGGAGTGCAATGGCTCGCTCTCAGCTTACTGCAACCTCTGCCTCAGCCTCCTGAGTAGCTGGGATTACAGGTGCCTGCCACCACATCCAGCTATTTTTTTTTTTTTAAATCTTTAATAGAGAGAGGGTTTCACCATGTTGGCCAGGCTGGTTTCAAACTCCTGACCTCAGGTGACCTGTCCACCTTAGCCTCCCAAAGTGCTAGGATTACAGGCATGAGCCACCATGCCCAACCAATTTTTTATTTTTTGTAGAGACATGGTCTTGCTATGTTGCTCAGGCTGGTCTCAAACTCCTGGGCTCAAGCAGTCTTCCTGCTCTGGCCTCCCAAACTGCTAGGATTACAGACTTGAGCCATTGTGCCTGGCGTATGTGTGTTTTTAAAAACTGTATTGGATGCATTTGGAGAGAATATTAGAAGGGGGCAAAACAGGAAGCAGGCTGGTGACATGGGCTAATATGATAGTGGTGAAATGAAGAGCAGTTGACTTTGAGATATATTTTGGAGATGAAAATCATGAGACTTGCCAATAGATTTGAATGGGACCGAGGAAAGGGAGAAATCAAGGATGACAATCAAATGTCTAGCTCCAGCAGGACGAACAGTCCAGATAGCAGAGACAAGGAGAAGAATAGTTCTGGGTGTTTTGAACTTGCTATGTTTCAGGTGCTTGTGTGTCTTACGGAGACATCACATAGGGCTCAGAGAAAAGATTTCAGCAAGAGACATAAATTTGGGAGTTTTCAATATATAGATGGCATTTAATTTAAAGTCATGGGCATAGATGAGATTATCTAGAAAGAGAATGTGGGAGAGAGAAGAGGGCCCAGTACCATGTCCTGAAGAACTCCAATGTATAGAGTTTGAGTGGAAGAAACACATGCAGTGGAGACAGAGATGGAGCTGCCAGAGGGGTCATAGAAAACCAATAGAAATGTTGATATAGACTCCAGGAAGGGATAGACAGTATTTAGAGAAAATGGTGACTGTGTCAATTACTAATCTTAGAAAAGTGGCCCTGGATTTGGTACCAGAGGTCATTAATGACCTTGAGAAGATAATCACTTGGAAATCTTGTCAAAATGTAGATTCTATTTTAGGGCCCAAGATCCTCCTCCTCTCCTCTTCTTCCCCTCTCCCCCCTTCCTCTTCCTCTCTTCTTCCCTCTCACCCTTCTCTCCCTCCCCATCTCCTGTCCCCTCTCCCTTCCCTTCTCCCTCCCCCTCTCCCTCTCCCTCTCTCTCTCCCTACTCTTCTTTTTTTTTGGTCTAAGTTGTCTGCAGAGATCCTGCATTTTCTAGTAAGCTCCCAGGTAATGCCAATGCTACCGGCCCATGGAGCACACTTTGAGTAGCAAAGGTATAGATTAGTGGTTCTCAAACTGTAATATGTATTAGAATAACATGGAGGGCTTGATAAAAATATAGATTATTAGACCCACTTCAAAGTTTCTTTTTCAGTAACTTGGAGTGGTACCTGGAATTTTCATTTCTTATAAATTCCCAGGTGAAACTGATGCTGCTAATCTGGGAACCTCTGGTGTAGGTGATTTTTTTAAGAGAATTTTTAACTGTGATGGAGTACAATTAAAGGAAGTCTTTTGGTTGTTGATTGTAGGTGATAAACAAGTAGAGCACATTTGTGCTGATGAGAATGGTCCAGTAGATAGGGAGACACTGATGATGCAAGGGAGAAGGGGAATGAAGTGAAATCCTTGAGAAGATGAGGGGAGTGGCTCCAAAGCATACGTTGTGGTCTTGAATGTTGATAAGAAGGGGCATATTCTTAGTTATAGCAAGAGTGAAGGTGGAGAAGATGGGTATATAGATTTGGGGGTAGGCAAATGGAGCTCCCCTCTTGATGGTTTCTGTTTTCTCAGTGAAAGCAAGGGCAACTCTTGAGGGAAGAGGGTGAGTTGGAGGTTTGAGAGAGAACATGTCAAGCGATCATTTTCGAGTAGGAAAATGAACTTATTGGAAGAAAATGGCAGGATTGAGAGCTTCTTTGAGATTAAGGTTAGAAACTAAAAATGAAACCAGTCTATGTGCTTCTGCAGTCTTTTTTGTTCAAGCTTAGTTACGGAGAATTAAATGGTTGAGATTACCCAAGGTTAAGCTTTATCCAGATGAGTAAATCAGGGAGAGAGAGAGAAAGAGAGAGAGAAGGAGAGAGAGAGAAGTGGGGGGGGGCAAGGGAGTGATTATAGTCATGGAACAGGAAGGGAAATGAAGACGGAGAGGGCTGAAGGATAGAAACAAACAATGACAATGAGGTTAACAAATTGTTGTAGTCAGGCTACAAGTACACTAGGAGTAACTAGGTTCATGATGAAAAGTGAGTGCTGCTGGCATTCAGAATTTTGTAGGTGGCGCAGTTTTTGGTAGAAATAAAGGTCTAGAGTATGACCATGAAGATGGCTGGATTTGGAGGAGTTTCTTAGAGAGGTCAGAAAACAGGTGGGTGTGCCCTTCACCTGGATGTTGAAGTTGCCAAGAATGATGACAGAAGTGGGGAGTGTAGAGAGATGTTCCGATAGAAACTAACTTTTCAGTGAATGATGGAAAATTTCAGGTCAGTGGATAACAGCAGCAGAGAGGGATAGTTTATCAGGGTTGTGAGCGGGAGAGATTTTATAGAACGAATGGAAAGTAATGGTCCTGAAGTGGTAATGGCTGCCAAGAAAGACTCTTACCCACCTGCTAGCCAGGAGGTATCTGGGTTGTTAGAGACTGTGAGAAGCAGTATCTTCTAGGAATGGCCTAGTTTCACAGAGATCGAGGGAAGGTTCAGAAAAGAGGTTGAAAATTTACATGAGTTTTTCACAAATTGGGATTTGAAGATTGAGGGCATAGTGTAAAGGTTTGGGAGTGAAAGGAAGGGGACTGGAGTAGGTACAGAGTTGTAAAAGCAAGTTTGGCAGGCAGAGAGTCTGGGGGAAATAGATGACCAGAAAGTCTTAGATACACACTAGAGACCAAATCAAACAGGAGGATGAGGTGTAATAGAACTGGCCCAGACAGTTTCTAAAAATAATAAAAACACATCACATTTTTGCTATAGATGTCCTCCATGATCTAGCCACTGCCTGCATCTCTTAGGGCATCCCTTTCCACTCTCCTCTTGCTCACTGTGCTCCACCCACACAGGCCTTCTGTCTTTCTGTTACTCACTCCAGCATGCCATATTTTCCTACCTCTGTTTCTTTTTTCATTTGTTTGCACTTGCTCTTCTGAGAGATAGCAGAGTCATGCGGTCAATAGCATAAGCTTTGTGACAATGGTCAGGTTATTTAACCTCTCAGTGCTTTAGTTTCTTATTTGTAAGTGGGGGAATGATAATAGTAGTTATTTCATAGGGGATTTAGGGAATTACAAAAGCTGAATTAAGACAAATTAATGTAAAGGGCTTAGAATAATTTCTTGTATGTGTGGGTAAAGACTCAGTAAACATTAATATTATCATTATTTCTTCGGCTTTATGCTCTTTTTCTTATATATTTACATAGGGAATATAATCATTGCATTATTTCCTTCCCAGCTCAAATGTGCTTCCTCAGCCATCCTAGCTAAAGTAGCGTAACTCCACTGGCTTTCTGTCACTCTTTATCCCATTACTTTTTTAGTCATAGTGTTCATCACTATTTGAAATTACTTTATTATTCTGTTCTGCTCTTCCCTCATTCCCTGCAGGCAGGGATTTATTGACTTGTTTCCTAGTGCATTTTAGTTCTAGAAGGTGCCAAGTACTTTGTCGGTGCCCAAGAAATATTTGTGCCAATTTATTGTCCTGAAGGCTAGGTTTACTCTGATCAGGCAGCATATGTGGCAAGGTGACGGTGAGGCCTAGGCAATTATCTGTTGGCTCATCTAGATCAGGCAGCTGCCAGTTATTGTAAATTTCGTTAGAACACAACCATACCCATTTTTAAACTTATTTTCTGGCTGCTTTCCTGCTACGGCCACAGAGTTGAGTAGTTGTGACAGAGGTCATGTCTTAGGGCTTGTAAAGTCGAAAATATTACTCTCTGGCCCTTCATAGAAAAAAATGTGCTGACTCCTGATTTAGATGCAGAGAAAGACAAGGAGAGAACACTGAAAATAATAACAAGCTTTATTTGGATACTGGGATAATAGGTCAAATGCTTTTTATGTTTATGCTTTTTTTTGTATTTTGTTTTAGACCCATTTAATTTGGAAATTGCCTTATAAATACCCAAAAATGGTATTTAGAATACTTTTTTAATGGTGGGTTTTTTTTTCCTTTTATTCTTCTTAGTGCTGCTTTTGACACAAAAACGGGATTACGTGTGGCAGTGAAGAAGCTATCCAGACCATTTCAGTCCATCATTCATGCCAAAAGAACCTACAGAGAACTGCGGTTACTTAAACATATGAAACATGAAAATGTAAGTAATTCATGCAAGGAAGAATGAATTTTGATCCTGAATAGGCTGGGGAAAAATGTTTTAATTATCACAGATGGAAATTCATTGGAGTGCATCAAACGTTGCTCCCTGCTTGTCCTGGAATGTCAGTGGCCACTTCGTTATGTCAGATCAAGGCAGAATGAAAATGACGTGTCCTCCTGGAGTTCTAGTTTTACTCAAAGATTTTTAGAGGGGGAAGAACTTTAAAATTTTAAAATAAAAGGAATTAATATTATGAAGTTCAACACAAAATTCACAAGAATTTTAATTTTTATTTATTGATTTATTTTGAGACAGAGTTTTACTCTTGTTGCCCAGGCTGGAGTGCAATGGGTGATCTCGGCTCACCGCAACCTCCACCGCCAAGGCTCAAGCAATTCTCCTACCTTAGCCTCCTGTGTAGCTGGGATACAGGCATGTGCCACCATGTCTGGCTAATTTTTTGTATTTTCAGTAGAGACGGGGTTTCTCTATGTTGGTCAGGCTGGTCTCGAACTCTTGACCTCAGGTGGTCTGCCCACCACAGCCTTCCAAAGTGCTGGGATTATAAGCATGATCAACTGTGCCCGGCCAATTCACAATTTTTAAGAGAAAATATTAAAAAGAAGTTGTGTATTCTTTGCCTATTTTTAAGAGAAAAACTCTGAGGAAGAGTGCCTTAGGCTCACTGAAAGTCCTATCAAAGATGGCTGTTATTTTATATATTTGTTAATAACTTTTTTTCCAGATTCAGGTATTTTAATAAATATGTCAGAGACATTAAGTTAAATATAACTCTTTCTTTTTTCCAATTTGGTAATTGGAGAACATTGCATTCTGCAAAGATGCTTACGTATTCTAATACAGTAAATAAGTGGATATGATTGGAATATTAATTGAAAGTAAAAAGACAATTGACTGAAGACACTTATTTTACTGAGTTTCAAAATCAAGTTATGAATTTCTGTGACTGCTTTATGAAAGGTACTGTGAAGTTTGTAGCATTGTGGAAACAATGGCCATAGAGATTTCAAAGTACTTTGGCCGTACTGCTTGTCACTATGTGGAAGAAAATTCAAAGTCTGTGAATTTATTATTTGACTTTTACACTGTTTCAGTAATTTAACTTCGTAGTGAGAAAAAAGTCACACAGATAAGAGGTTCTTCATTAGCATACACTTGTTTCATTAGTGCAAGTTTCTTCTAAATTGAGAACATTGAGATTTAAATTTATAATTGGATTATAGATGTTATTATAATCACAGCTGCTGCTTTTTATTTCCACATTTTATTTTGATTGTATAGTATTGAGAAAATCCTATTTCTACAGACAACTTCTATTCCTGAGTATAATTTTACATAAGTAGCTATGTGCAAACCTGAGTTTTAAGAATGTTCAGTGCGGAGCTGCCGCTTTCCTAATCAGTGACATGTTTACAAGAAGTTGAGATATGTGGAAAAAGCTGGCAGCAGAAACTTTATTCCTAGGTCTGCATAAAATCAAGGTGGCCTGGCAGCTTTAAGGGATGTGTTTGCATTTGATTTTTAACACATTGGCATGTATATGCTGTTCTTCATTACAAATTATTATATGTGACAGAGACAGTATCACAACTCTTTAAGTATAAAGGATATTTTGAAAATGAAATGCAAGCCAAACATTTACAGAACCCCAGAGCACCTAGGATCTCACTGATGTAGCTCTGCTAATTTAAGAACATCTGGTTTAGGAGAGTATCCGTGCTATGCTTGATTGTTTTGCTTTTCTCCTAAACATTTTAAGCCAATGTTTAGGGACCATGGTATTAGAAAAATAAGATTTTATTTCCATACATTGTTTTATAAGTGGCTTGCTTGCTAGCAGTCTTTTTTTTAAATATAAAGATGTTTAAATTCTAACAGTAGATGGTCAGCTAGATATCAATGATTTGTTATTTAAACAATAAGGCACATAGCTGAATGTCTCACAGTTCTCTGTTCCATTGGCAAATGTTTGAAGCCAAAAGACTTGACTCGATACAGAAAAATTCCTGCATTTTAGCCTATTTTAAAAACATTTGTTAGGTGTTTACAATGTAAAAGTAGTTTTACCCAATAAAGAAGCAAGACTTCCAGTAAGTTTAATTGAGGGTTTTCAGAGAAATTCCTCTCCTTTACCCTCCTCTTCTTCTTTTTTGCAAAATTATTGTTTTGGGTCATCATCCAGTTTTTATAGTGGCCAAACCTCCCACAGGCAGCAGCAATAGGAGCTCAAAACTTGTGAACATTTTGAGTGTTGGTAACAAGTATAATTTTCAGTTGCCAGAGGGCACATGTGATCTTTTACACAAAAATGCCTCTGACCTACAATTGGTAGTTCATCTTGAGTTGTCTCTTCTGTTAGTGATCATGAATGACAGATGTACATTTATTAGGTGAGTGATTGAAGCTAGGGGATCCCCTCTGTGATTGTGAGATTTTTCTCCCTGAATAAAGTTAGTTGGCTCATTCCCGATTGAACTTCTGACCTTGATCTCATTAACACCTGCTCTAAGGAAAGATTAAAGGGAGGCAGCCTGCCAGCTACCAGCTGCATCCTTTTGCTATCTAGGCAGACACTACAGAGATGACCCACGTTTGGGCCTAGAGATCTGTACATTTTAGAATTTAAAAATGATCAAGGAAATTCTTTCGTAAATTTTATTAGGAAGCCTTAGATTTTTAACCTTATTGTAGACCAAGTGATTGTTTTAGAATGCTTTTGTTAAATATGCTAAATATTGTCTTTGATTGGATACTGAGTTAAAGTATGTTTTTTTAGATGTGTGCTAATTTAATAAAAATGACTTATTTGTTGAGTTTTGGATCATAATGGGATAATCATTAGAGATATTTGCTGCTTATTTGTATTGTAAATGGTTTTTCTTTTTCTCCCCCCCCCTTTTTTTTTGAGACAGAGTTTCACTCTGTCACAAGGCTGGAGTACAGTGGCACAGTCTCAGCTCACTGCAACCCTACGCCTGGCAGGTTCAAGTGACTCCCCTGGCTCAGCCTCCCGAGTAGCTGGGATTATATGGATGCCCCACCACACCCAGCTAATTTTTCGTATTTTTAGTAGAGATGTGGTTTCTCCATGTTGGCCAGGATGGTCTCGATCTCCTGATCTTGTGATCTGCCTGCCTCCAAAAGTGCTGGGATTACAGGTGTGAGCCACCGCGCCCAACCCTGTAAATGTCTTTTCTAAAAAGTTGATTCCTGGGTTACTTTGAGGTGACTGAAATTATTTAACAGCAGAAGGAGTTAAAGAAATAGACTAAAATATGACTTGAATTAGAAGGAAATTTCCATTTAATGAGTGAGAAATGGCTGGGCACAGTGAGTGGCTCATGTCCGTAACCCTAGCACTTTGGGAGGCCAAGGTAGGTGGATTGCTTGAACCCAGGAGTTTGAGAACTAGCCTGGGCAACATGGCAAAACCCAATCTCTATTATTATATTTTAAAAAAGAGAGAGAGAGAGAAATGAACAGATAACTCACATAGTTCCCAGATCTATTTTAATGCTGAGAAATTTTGTTTTACAGTATTTTTTATGATTAATATTTGATAAATATGATTAATGGAGGGAGGGGTATTTTGTAAAAACCCACCAAAAATTTAAGTACTTTGATTTAACATGGGTAGTTTTGATTTCAAAATTGTTATTTTTGGTGTGCTTATGTTAAATACATTAAATATTGTAAATATTTCCCTTTTTAAAATTTGGTATGGTATTTACTAGTTGGCTTTCCTCTTTTTTTTTTCAGATTACTTCATTTTTCTTCTTGCAGTCATGCTTTTTAATCATTTGAATAATTTAGTTTAGCTTTATGTCTCAAACTCTGTTAATGGAAGTAGTTGCTTCAGATACTTTGCTTAGGTATACTGCATTTTGTAATTCTCTCTCTCTCTTTTTTCTTTTGTTTTTTTAAAGACGGGGTTTCACCATATTGGTCAGGCTGGTCTCGAACTTCTGACCTCAGGTGATCTGCCTGCCTCAGCCTCCCAAAGTGTTGGGATTACAGGCGTTAGCCACCACGCCTGGCTATTTTGTAATTCTCTATTTAGCTGTGTGGGCTATGGTCACCACTTATTTTGATGATCCACAAAGGGTCAATCCTTTGTGCTAGGCACCTTCAGACACATTGTCTGCTCAGTCTTGCTCTCAGTACTGTGAAAATAAGCAATGACGTCCTCATGTTTTTCATGAGAAAAACGGGACTCAGAGAAGATACCAAATATATTTGGCAATTACTGTTTACATAACAACCATTCATTGAACTCCTGCTGAATGCCAGTCTCCATTCTAAGTGTCAAGGTTATTGGAATGAATGAGATACAAGTTCTTGGATCCAAGAAATCACAAACTGATACTGAAATTTAGAGCTGTTTGGTTCCAAAATGTTTGTTGTGTTTTCAGTTTGAAATTGGAGTTTTTATTTGAAAATAATTTTGACTGTTTTGTGTTTGAGGTAACTCTTACATGTGTAAATCGGATCTCTAATGATTTAGTTTTATCTCCAAATGAGGATGATTTTCACAGTCACAATGGAAACAGTGTAGTTTTAAACTTTTTTATTATATTGAGGAGATGGGCTTTTCAGATAACGAGAATCACTGATTAAAATATACTGGAACAGGCGAATAAAGTTAGCTTCTAGACCTCAGTCACCTGAAGTACAAGTGGGTATAAGGAAGAGTGATGGAAAGACCAGAAGTCTTAAGCCAAGAATGTACCAAATTCAAGGGAAACAATTATGGTTTAGATGCAGAAGGTAAAAGAAAATGGATTTGACTTAAATTTAAAGTGCTATTATGAATGAGGTCACAGTTATACTTTTGGGGGGATTGTAAGTTGACCTTATCTCTATGGAGGACAATTTGACAATATTAAAATCCTTAAATATATTGGTGTCCTTTGATTCTGTAATTCCGTTTCTTGAAATTTATTTCCTAGAAGAAAATATGAGATGTGCAAAATACATATATTTTTCTTGAAGTATTTCTTAAATATCTAAAGATAGGAAATTGGTTAATTATGGTATACACAAATGATAGATATGCTGCATTTAAATATTATTTAAATATTTAAGTATTAAGTAAAAAGGCAGGATATAAACTGTACATTGTATAACCCCAATTTAGTTTATGTACATCGGAAGAATCAAAGGAAATATATCTGAAAGTGTTAATGATAGTTATAATGGGTGGTACAATTATGGGTAATTTTGGTTTTCTTGTATACTATTGTCTGGGTAAGGATCTGAAAGTGACTCTGTCTCTTTCCTTTGGAACAATCTGCATGGACTTGACTTGAAAAGCTATTCTTGAATTCTAAGTATGTGCCCCACCACTCCCTTTTCAGGTTCAGATTATAAAATTGAAGGTGCTTTTAAAAAGTCTGATATTTGGATGAGTGGAGTAACATCCTAATTAGAAGATCTTTTTCATGATAATGTTTTGAGTTTTAACATATCTTACTTTTAGAGCTTTGTGTTTAAGTTGGCAATTTAGAACAGTGTGCTAGTGAGGCCACAGTATTGTTTCATATCCAGACACTCTCAAATATGGCTGGGCGTATTACAGATGAGTTAATAATATTTTGTATTTGCCTTGTCAATGTCTCACTTCGAAGAAATGAATACCTAGGTTTTAAGGGAAATGGATGGGAGGTGGGGGAAGGAGGGTGCTGTATGTGGATAAATCAGTATAAATATATGATTAGAAAAACTGCTCAAAGACCATGGGTTATTGAGTATTAAGTAACTCTTTGCTTTATCCCTGTGTAAAGATAGACTTAAAAAAATTTTTTTTAATTGTCTGAGTTAAATACCTGATGATTAGGAAAATTAACATTAAGACTTTATGTGAATAATACCAAGAATATACTGAGAATATTTTGAGGCTTTAAAAATGTCAGTTTTGAAGGCTATACAGTTAGGATGGAAATTTTTTGTAGAATACATTTTTTAAAAACAATACTGTGGTAATAACCATAGAAGTATGACCTTTTTTTTTCCCTGTTGATTAATTCATTAAATCATTAGTACATTTGTAAGGCAGGAACCCTAAATCTTATTGCCTTTTGATCACTACTGACTACATATGATTAAATTCTAAAGAGATGAATATTTTTAATGGTAAAGTGGGTTAATATGAGAATTGATGTTAACAAGTAGAAAAAAAAGCATAATTTGGATAGAAAATTAGTTGGAGTTACTAAGTATATGATGTGATGTTTATTGAACTGAGGTAGCTGATTTCGAATTAGTTCCTGTTAAAATGATTGAGACTTGGCAGGCCATGGGGGCTTCTGTAATCCCAGCACTTTGGGATGCTGAGGCAGGAGGAGGATCACTTGAGGCTAGGAGTTCAAGTCCAGCCTGGGCAATCTAGTGAGACACATCTGTACAAAAAAAACGAAAAATTAGCTAGGCATGGTGGTGGCACGTGCTTATAGTCCCAGCTACTTGGGAGACTGAGACAGGAGGATTGCTTGAGCTGCATTGAACTACGATGTCACTGTAGTCTAGCTTGCGTGTCAGAGTGAGACCTGACTTTTTTTTTTTTTTTTTAAACAGAGTCTTACTCTGTCACCCAGGCTGGAGTGCAGTGGCAAGATCTCAGCTCACTGCAACCTCCGCTTCTGGGTTCAAGCAGTTCTCTTGCTTCAGCCTCCCGAGTAGCTGGGATTACAGGTGCCTGCTACCATACCCAGCTAATTTTTGTATTTTTAGTAGAGATGGGGTTTCACCACATTGGCCAGGCTGGTCTTGAACTCCTGACCTGAGGCAATCCACCAACCTCGGCCTCACAAAATACTGGGGTTAGAGCTGTGAGCCACCATGCCCAGCCTAGACCCTGACTCTTAAAAAAAAAAAAAGAAAAAGAAAAGATTAAGACCTGATGGGTACTATTGTGAGTTTAATATTTATTTACTGTTTAATTTTTATGTTTTCTCATAGGTGATTGGTCTGTTGGACGTTTTTACACCTGCAAGGTCTCTGGAGGAATTCAATGACGTGTGAGTAAATCTTTTGCTTTTGCCTTCCTGATTTACAGAATGAAGACTAATAGCCCATTTATATTCCTGAACCATTTAGCGACATACAGACTGGAAAAAAATTCTTTATTTCTATCATGCAACTCTTTTTGGGTGTAGGGATGGATACCAGAAGATGTATGTTATGGGTGGTGCATGTTAGTATTTGCATCATTTCAGGTACAATTGTACCCCATTGAAGATTCAGTCTTGAATTCTTACAGAAGTTCCATGGAGAAAGCAGTAGAGGGAGTTTTGACTGTGGATTTTCTTTTCAAATTGTCTGTCCCAGGTTTTTTGTTTTTGTTTTTGTTTTAAAAGACATGGGTCTTGTCATACTGCCCTGGTTGGAATCAAGATCCTGGGCCATAGTGATCCTCCCACTTCAGCCTCCTGAGGAGCTGGGACTATAGGCACATGCTGCTATGTCTGGCCAGTCCCAACTTTTAAAGGTGATTTTCAAGAAATGTAATGGAACCCCAGCCATATAGGCTCCCTCCTCTTTTATTGCCCATGCATGTCGGAGATGAACTTCATGCTGATCTTGAAGTATTAGATTTCTGCACTGGGATAAGGGGCAGACTCTACATGCTGAGAAAGGCTTCTTCTCTCAGCTTTGTAACCACCTCTGTTGTTTTAGCCTGGGATATCCCTAGAAAGCAGAGCCTGGGATTCTCAGGAACCAATAGTGGGGGCTAGGGAGAATGAAACAGGGAAAGAGAGAAAGCTTCTATAAGGATATGTTGTTGAATTGGTCACTACAATGGACAATTGGGCTGAAAACTGCCAAGATCTAAAAAGCTGTACATAATTCACCTCAGATGGGGATCATTAATCCACTGGCTCCAGACCCCCTTGGCAAGAGTTGCCACATGTATCATTAATGCCTTCACATGCCCAGGTTGCACATTGGTGAGCACAAGACAGATTCCAGCAGGTGTTTCTGTGCATGTGCGAGCTCTCTACTCCAGTAGCTTTTCTAGTATCTGAATTGACATAGCTCTCTCTGCCCCAGTTCACAGATACACTATACCATAAAAGAGAAAAAAAAAAACCTTAAATGCAGTTACACTTTTGGTATCCTTGAAATTTTGGCATTCCTAAGTGGAAAGGGTTATTATTATGAAAGCCAAAACAGAATTGAAGATCATGACTTCTCTTCCTTAACCTCCATTCCTGCATTGTCCCCATGGCTGAACCTAACCAGTTTTTCCTCACCCTTATCCTGGTTTCAGTTTCTCCCATTCTTATCCTGGGCTGATCTCAAACATCACTTACTCCTTTCCCATGGAACACAGAGGGGATCTGTTTGAACTTGTATGTTTTGTCTAAGGAAAGGGAGAAAGAAAGAAAGAAAAAGATGAAATGGAAAGGGAAGAAGGAAAGGTAGCAAAAACATTTCTCCACCATTTGAATTTAGTTGGCACATAGTATGGCTGAGAGTAGAAGTTGAGAGAGGAGAATTTGGTCTACCTACAAGATCTCCTTGGCCACATTAACCTTGACCCTACTAATAAGAGTTTTAGAAAAAAACAAAGGAAAAAATAGGCACTAACTAAGAAAAACTGTTCTTCTCGCAGCCATGCTTGGTACAAGAATATGGAGGCTTCCAGAGATTACTAGATGTTACCTAGGGGCATGTATATTACAATCTGTTGAGCCCTACTGTATGCTATAGTTGGAAAAGGGAATGTTGCAGAATGATGGTTTTTAAAAATAGTTTCCCTAAATGTGGAAGAAATGCTGAGGTAATGCATTTGTGAATTACTTTGGAAAGCATTTGAGTTAGATCTGAGCTATATCCCAAAGTTTTAGGTATACTGCAGATGGACTTACATAACAAAGAAAATGATGATTTGCTGACTTGTGCAAAGTGTAAAATGCTGTACTTTGGCCTAATTGGGCATTCTGGAACTGGAATAAGAACCTGTTTTTCCTATATGAAAAGACCTTAATTAAGGCCAGTGTCTATTGAAGAGGTTAAGTGTTATTGAGGACCCAGCAACAACAAGTCTACCTTTGAACTAAAGTTTCATGCATTCATTCAACCATTCATTCATTCATTCAACAAATACTATGGCTGTTGAGCAGGAATCTGTTCTTTCTACTTAACTCTAGCTGGATTCTATTTTTTTATAAACAAGAACTGAGTTTAATTCTTGGAAGCAAATCTCATTACTACTTGTTGAGTACTTACCAAGTGCAGAACACTGAGCAGAGTATTGGAACAGGTTCAGAATAATTAGAAATATTCACCCTTCCTTTTGATGAAAGGATCTGGTTGGGGGAAACAAATTCAAAACACTTATATCCAAGTTACCAATTGGCTGTATGACCTTAGACAAGTCACTTTACCATTATAGGCCCAGCATTTCCCTGTAAAATGATGAAAATTGAGGTCGTTGACTTCTGAAGTGTTTTAAGTTATAGAAAGTCTCTGAAAATAGAATGAACCTTTTTGCCCTTAGAAAAGTATTTCATTGTTTACTTTTTTTGTGACGTTTGTATCACTGAAAAAAATCACTGTAGTTCAGGAATATAGTTATTTCTGTTTTTTTTTTTTTTTTTGAGACAGGGTCTTGCTCTGTTGTCACCCAGGTTGGAGTGCAGTGGCGAGATCTTGGCTCACTGCCACCCCCAGCACCCAAGCTCATGCAATCTTCCCATCTCAGTCTCCCAAGTAGCTGAGACTACAGGCACGGGCCATCATGTCCAGCTAATTTTTGTATTTTTGGTAGTGACAGGGTTTTGCCATGTTGCCTAGGCTGGTCTCAAACTCATGAGTTCAGGTGTTTGCCCTCCTAGGCCACCCAAAGTACTGAGATTACAGACAAGAGCCACCATTCCCAGCCATTTCAGTGTTTGCTAAAGTTATTTTGGGATGTGCGTGGAAACTAAATATTTTCACCCACAGTTACAGGGTTTGCAAATTTAAAATACCTTCAAGGTCAAACAAAGAACATAAATGAGGCTTGGTGTTGTACAACTGGGAGTGGTGGGGTCTGTGGCAAAATACATCTGCACCTCCTGAAAGTATTCCAATTCACATTGAAACAAAACAAGTGAACAAACAAAAACCTACCCTCTGGCCAAACCAGACATAACTTAGGCTAGAGTGGTTCTGTAAGCTGCCTGTTTATAGCAGGCTGTAATTTGAACACAAATGTTTAAATGCCAATTAGCAAAAATCTGTAATTACCTTCAGATTTACAGTTTGTTTGTTTGTTTTTTTTTTTGAGGTGGAGTCTCACCCTGTCACCCAGGCTGGCATGCAGTGGGTGATCTTGGCTCATTGCAACCTCCACTTCCCAGGTTCAAACTATTCTTCTACCTGAGCCTCTCGAGGAGCTGGGATTACAGGGGCACACCACCATGCCTGGCTAAATTTTCTATTTTTAGTAGAGACGGGATTTTATATTTTGGCCAGACTGGTCATGAACTCTTGACCTCAAAAGTGATCTGCCCGCCCCAGCCTCCCAAAGTGCTGGGATTATAGGTGTGAGCCACCATGCCTGGCCTACAGTTGGCTTTTAATCATGTGGTATGTGTAATTGTTTCTTTATGTTTCAGTTAGCACTTTTAATTTGTCATGCATCAGTTAATGACTGGGATGTGTTCTGAGAAATATGCCATTAGGTGATTTTGTTGTTGTGCAGACATAACAGAGTATACTTCCACAAAGCTAGATGGTACGATCTACACACCTAGTTTATATGGTATATCTTGTTCCTATGCTACAAACCTGCACGGCATGTTACTGTATTGGATACTGTAGGCAACTGTAACATGATGCTATGTATTTGTGTATCTAAACATAACTAAACATAGAAAACATACAGTAAAAATATGGTACTGTAGGCCAGGCTCAGTGGCTCACTCCTGTAATCCCAACACTTTGGGAGGCTGAGGTGAGTTGATCACTTGAGCCCAAGAGTTGGAGACCAGCCTGAGCAACACAGGGAAAACCCCTCCCTAAAAATTTTTTTAAAAATTAGCTGAGCATGATGGTGCATGCCTATAGTCCTAGCTACTGGGGAGTTTGAGGTGGAAGGATCACTTGAGCCCAGAGGCTGTGGTTTCATTGAACTATGAGTGCGCCATCGCATTCCAGCCTGGGCGACAGAGTGATATATGTAGTCCTCTGTTGACTGAAACATTGTTATGTGGTACATGACTACTTCAGGTTTTTCCTATGTTTTAAAGTTTAATTCTTACAAATGAAGACTATACCTTTGAGAAAGGACCAATAGATAATACATTTTGAACATTAGGAACAATATACAGTTACTCAATCTAACAGATGGAGATGATTTTTGGAAAACGTAGTGTTAAAGATGGATATATTGAGTTGCTTTTGACCACCATGTGATGTGGTTACAGAAGGCAAAATTTTGTAAAGCTGTGATATATCTTCATCTCTTAAGTGATTGGAAATCATTTGGACATTTCTGTTGGCTTCTTGATAGTACTATTTGGCAAGAGACTGCATGCATATATGTGCCTATGTATACAGCAAATATTTAATTACCAGTAGAAATGCAAAAATCTTAAATAGCCAATATTTGAACCTAACCCCAGAACAAGCTGTAATTTAATATTACTACAATATTGCCTTTTCTTTGTGTGTGTGTGGGGGGGGGGGCGGTTTCTTTCTTTTTGTAGTTGGGACTTCAGGCTCACACCACTAGACTCAGCTGTTTTTACTTTTTTGTAAAGTTGAGGCCTTGCTGTGTTGCCTTGGTTGGTCTTGAACTCCTGGACTCAAGCAATCCTCCCACCTTGACCTCCCCAAATGCTGGAATATGAACCACCATGCCAAGCCCTTTTTCTTAACTGTAGTTGTTCTTTGCACAAGCATAGTTGGCAATGAAGAATTTTTTTATTCCTCCTGGGAACTTTTTCCTCAAATTTCAAGGAAACTGAATTGTCATGAGTTTCATGTTAAGTGGAAATTAGTATTCTGATACTTTTTCCTTAATTTT